AAGTGTATCTTGTACTTGGGCTATTATACAAAATTTAATGGTTTTACTACTTCCGATAAAATGGTAAATAAGAATCATTCGTACATTCTTCCTTTGAATTTTTTTTAAATTTCTTGGAGTAAGATAAAGAATTCTTTCGTTAAAACGATTCTAGCAAATTTGACGGCACACGCGACGAAAAAAAAATTTAAGATTTCTTATCTATCTGTGTAGATATACATATGACGAAGATAACAATAATGAAAAGATGAATAATCACTCCGATAGTTAAAATAAATATATTAATATAAAATGTATATATATTTCCGGTTGTCATAGCTCATTATTATTTGTTTTTATTTGCTTCGTAGTAAAAGAATTTTTTATAAGATTAGTTTACCAAGATGTAGTATTATCTACAGAGCATTTTGTTTGAATTTAATGGTCATCTACATTGAAATAAAAAATATACTTTATATATTTCATCAAAGAATTAATTAATATGATTATATTTTAATATGTGTTCATATTGGTTTTGATATACTGACAGAAAAGATATGCAAAGAATTTTCTGCTTTCTATTGAAATCAAATACAATTATAGGTAAAAATGTAATCGATGATACTTGATATTATTTAGTATTCAGGTGTTTTCAGCTTCCAAATATAATATTGTAATTATGACATGTTTGTTTTTGCAAATAAATAATGAGTTAATTTTTTTGCATAATGATAGATGAAAGTTTCAAGGTTTGGCTCATAAGCAAAAAGTTTAGTATCATTGTTTAACATCATTATTATCTACCTAAAAGAGAAAAATTTACAGGCTCTATATAGGAAAAAATAAACGATAGATTTTAGATGTCTGTATTATTGCCAAAGTTCTCATGTTTGTGAATTTTTTCAATGTTTTTAAAATAATTTATTTACGATCTTTCACTTCTTGCTAAACTATCTGGCGTTTCTGAAGTTTTCTAGGATCCTTTCAGATGTTCTTATACAGAAAATTGGCGAGAAACTCACCCAACTACGATACACTTTTGACAGAGCATTTTCATGAATAATCATCCACAAAGATACAACAATAACCGAACTTTTTGTTTTTGATATAATCTATTTTATTTAGTTTCTTTCACAAATCGTTTCGGTATCAAATTGCTCTGGAATTCTGGAGTACTTTGACCTTTTCCAGTATTTTAACCATAGCAACTTTATTTGTTACTGAAAATAGGAAAATCCTTTTCACCGAAATCATCTGAGAAAATATCTTTACAAAATAGGATATGTCAAAATAAAAGTACTCACGTATGGAAGCATCCGGAAAAAAATGCCAACTTCTGTATTGAAGTAGATAGTATTAGATTTCAAGGATGTCAATATGATGATGATTGATGAATAACAGCTTGCAACTTTTCACTATCATCAGGAAAAAAGGTAAGCTCATTTCCTTAAAGTATGCTGGAGACATTCCATTATTTTTGTTTTTTGATACATTATTTCTTGGTGATCGAGTGTCTTATCTATTTATTTCACCACATTTATTATTCAAATCACTACATATGATAAATCTTTTAAAACATGGTGCGTTAAATTTGTGTTTTGGATGCAACAAGACATAAAATATTCTTATCATACTATATAAAGAAACAATTCCAAAACCATGACATTCAATGGAGCTTAATTTTTGTACGTTATAGAGATCCACGAGTCAGCCTCGCACTCTTGTGCATGCTAATGCAAAGTTGAGCGAACTTGTCTGGAGCGTGTGATACGCCATTCTATGACTTGACACGTTCTGAAAGAAAAATGAGGAAATGAATTAGCTGCGATGAAATGCGTTCACAGAGCAAGACTCAAAAGAAACGTTCGACACAATGCTAGGCTGACTCGTGGATCTCTGGTACGTAAGATAAAGGCCTTAGTTTTATTTTGTTTTCATTATTATGCTTCCATTTTCTAAATTATAAGATTTAAGTAGAGATAACTGCCAGAGTAGATGGTATATTCTTATTGCCATGATTCATATATATTCTTAAAACCAAATTGTTAAATCAGAAGTAAAAAGAGTTAATTACTTAATTTCAATTTTCGCTTGAAAATTTTTTTCGAAAAATAAGGTAATTTTATTTGATTGACAGCTTAGATTTACGAAATTCTATGGTAATAGAATATTAGCAAGGACACATGCATATTTTTTTTATTTCAACTTTCATGAAGTTATTCAAGAGATAAATTCTGTATTTTCCAATCAAAGACTAACTACAAATTAGCATTTCAATTGAATACAATGAAGAATATATCAAATAGAATGTTTGAAATTTACTTTGGTACGATCATTAAATACCAAAAGAAGGGATTTTTTGACTATTTTGAAATTCATATAATTCTGTAATGTAAAGAAGACTGTATTTTTCAAGATGATATATGTATCAATCTGTAAAAAATTAAATTAATTTTATTTTTTTGATTTTGATTGATCTTAACAATAAGAAAATATCTTTTCTTTCTTTCAACACTTATAGAAATTCATGTTTTCGATTGCTTTCCTTTTTTGATGAAACGGAACAATCTCAAATTTTTTTTTTTGTCTTGATATGTCATTTTCATTATTTTTCAACAACATCATCCATTAAGGTCGTCATGCATAAACATAAAGAGAAAAGTACTTGAAAGTTTTTTTTCTGTAAAAGGTATAAATGTGATAATTTATTTCTATGGTATGTCAGTCTTCTACAAAAGACATAAGTGGTTTTGAAAAAGAATATGACCTTTTCTTTTGAAGTATTAACTGATCTGAAGTGAACTATGATGGCATTAGCTGATTTTGAGGGTAAAGTCTAAGAATAGTGTTTAGGTCAGAACGATGTCTACATGTAATTGCGATTTGTTTCCTATGGATTTTTCATTGTAAGAAGTTCTAACAATGTGTCGGTCGAGAGAAAATGTCGTAGGAACAATATTTGTCAATTTCCCGGATACAGTTAGTGACAAATCAATACATTAAATCGAGTTCGTCGTCTTACGTATGCATTATAGACAGGGCAACACTTTATTTTTACTAAACATTTTTGTTAGCTTATTATACTGCTCATCGGATTATGCGCTAACATATACCTATAGTTCGTTGTCTGCTAGATTGTCAATGTATGATCATAGTCATTGCATGCATCCATTGCTTTATTCAGCATCAGTTCTTTCTGTATGATTTATTCTGCGTATTAATTGAATTTTCGTAAAATAGAAAAGAAACAAATGTGTATAGTGATTGATAGTTTGATAAGTGTAATTTTAGATATCCATTGTTATACATGAATTTTGATAAAAGAGAGAATGTTTTCTTCATTCTGACACTATTTTTTGGGTATTATACTTTTGTCTTTTTAGATCAATTTTCATCTTTTTTTGATATAGAAGTATTATAATCGGTTAAATCTTTGTGTTGCATGACGGTCTAATATAGAAATAGAAATCAATCTGTTTTGGAAAAAGCCCGTGGATTGATAACGCTCAATTTTAATATTCTGTCTATATCTATACTTAGTATTGAATTGTGTATGTGTTTCACTGAAATTTTATTAAGATTATTAAATATAGATGCAATAAAATGCACATCCGAGCTCATTATGATAGAAGCAAGCTAGGTGAATGAAAAGAGTTTAAAATAACGACAACATACACAATAGAAAATATATTCTTTTCAGAATTCATATTTAATTCATAACGCCAAATAAACTAGACAAAACTAATTTATTCTTTAGGCATTTTTATTTTTGTGATTGATCAATAGAGTCTAGATAGAATACTCATGTAATTCCTCGCAATGAGTTTATAGTTAAAATAAAAGATTAAAAACTTAACTAACAACCAAATAGTGCCCCCACGTAAGTTCAATAGTATTAATCACATTATTTTATTCTTAAACAAAAATAAATTAGCATTCAGGTAGGATGCATCAGGAAATGCGTTAAAAACTTGGTTGAGGACTTTGTTTCATACATTTTATAAATTAAAGATTCAGAAAGTGTTTCATATAGATATGTCCGCCAGCGTTCTCTCTTCTTTCATTGAAGAATAAAATAAACGGAAATGAATGTTGAATTGCTATAATTATTAGTAAAACCAACTGACAATGATAAATTAAAGTCTTCATTTATTGTATGAATATGATCAGGATGTATACCGAATATTCATACAAAATAGACACAAGAAAACTAATGAAAAATTCAAATACTAATTATAATACTAACAATAGTTTGTATTCATCACAATAGATATCTTATATAGACCGTAGTATTTTGAATCACAACTTTAACTACGATAGCGGTTTTAAAATCAAAGATTATAGTTAACATAATTTTCTGATTAATGCAAGATTGTTTATGACATGATTAAGAAATTTTTGGAAAACTATTCTATTTCATTTTATTGTAAAGTGCACAAAAAATTAGACACACTGTATTTGACTCTCTACGAATCTATAAACAATACTATCGAAAGCCATCATTGAATTATAATAATCAATACCTAAATCAATATTCTTCATCCTAAGTACCGTATTACATTTTATAGTTTTTGTCACTTATTTTATGACAAGATACACGAAACATGCCTTTTTTATTTCTAGCATAATAACGTCACACACAAGAAAAAATATGCTTCGTTGCATGTATGAATGGATGTTTTAAAATATGACAACATCAAGATAATATAAAACTATCACGGTTGGTTGATTGAAGTAAATCATTTTATATAACTATCTCAATTATTTCGCTTGAAAGTGTTGGTACTAAAAAAAAACTTGTTGTTTGATCCACAAATTAATGTCAATCATCGAAAGAAAAAGAAAACATTGAATTATCATTGTTTTAAAAAACAAATCTTTTTTTTTTTTTTTATTAAGGATAAAACATGTCATCATTAGACTCAGTCGAACTGCTTCATGTTATAAGTAAAAAATATCAGTTCTATTCCAATGTCGTTATTTTGTTCATTGGACTTATTGGTAATATTTTAATTATCTTAATGTTCACCATTCTGCGCATATTTCGAGGAAATCAATGCGCTTATTATTTAAAAATCGAGTCTACGACCGATATTGGTCTACTTCTTGCAATTTTACCATCCAATATTGCTGGCTATATTATAGGTCAAAATCCAGTGCATATATCAATTATTTGGTGTAAAATACAGCTAATGAGCTCTTATACTTTTGGCTTGTATTCTCTGTTTACAATATGTTTTCTTGCTTTTGATCAATATTTATCAACAAGTCATCGTCAAAATTGGCGACATATAAGTACACTTAAATTAGCTTATCGTCTTACATATTTCAATATAAGTGTTGCACTACTTCATGGAATACTCTTTCTTGTTTTTGCCGACACTGGCCCGTTAGGATGTACTGTTTATCATCCAACAGTAAAAGCTTACTTTTCATTTTTTTATTATCCAATCCTATCTTGTGTGCTTCCATTTACTACGAGTGGTTTATTCAGTTTATTAGCATATCGAAACGCCCGTCGAATTGTTCGACGTCAAGTACCGTTGGTGCGTCGTCGACTTGATCATCAAATGACAGCTTTTGCTCTGACGAGAGTGATGTGTATACTTATTTTGGGTATACCATTTATTGTTTGGAGTCTGTTTCGACTTAATACCACATATCACCTGGACAACTTTTTAGAAGAGGCCATACTTAATCTGTCGTCAGTAATCACATATTCAATTTTATATGTTAACTATGCTGTAAGTTAACTTATTTCATTGATTCTTAAAATCGTTTGTATGATTTCGATTTTTGTAGATCAATTTTTATTTATTTTTAATAATATCACCGCGCTATCGTCATCAAGTAAAACATTTCTTTATTAAAAAACTTCGGCATTCTTGGACAAGATTATCTAATCCCAGATTGTCAATTTTAAGGAATAATCAAGTTGCTCCAGAGCCTGCTCCAGCAAGTGCATTCATCATAGAATCCGTATAGGTATATTGTTATGGAAAAAAATGTTGCACCATCCTATATCAAGTATATTTCCTAAATATCAGTCCATTGTTGTCTTATGTTTAACTTATTTTATCATATTCGAATATGTTTCATGTATATTTGTCATACTTCATTGTCGCTTCTGAATGTGAAAAAAAGTCAGAACGTTATCAGATCTAAATGAGATAAAACAAAACTATTCGTTACATGTAGAACAATGTTAGCGGCGAAAATAAAAACCATACTACGATAGAACACAAGATAAATATGTTCAACTAAAGATTAACATGAATACAGACTAGAATAAAAATTGGGTTTGTGTTTTGATAATATCATTGACGAAGCGAGATTATTAACTGACAAGTTTTATTTCGATTCATCATAATAGGGTTGAATGACAGTTTTGCTGTTTAGCATAGTCAAATGTCTTCATTGCACTTATTGTCAAATCCATTATTGTAAATATTAAAAAAACTGAAAAAAAAACGTGTAAATTAGAGCCGCCGACTCGGTCTGCTGCCTAGCAGGCGTCTGCTAGGCCATGTCAAGTTTTGACATTTTAGTCTGACTTGATTCGTTCATTCCAAGAGTTTGTTATTATTTTATCTCTATGAAATGTAAGCTATAAAATACAATTGAAAGTCAATAAGATATTAGATCAGTTAAAAAATAAATTAAATAAAAATGTAGCAGGAAGCTTAAAAATTATGATGTGGTATAAATTGTGATGCAAAGTTTTGTATGAAATTGTCAATTATAAACCGAATTAAAGATTGAGTATGAAACTTGATTTCTCCGATTATTAAGACGATTTATTCGATCACATCAAGATCGAGAGACTATTGGATAAAGTCTTTTCAATTGAGAAAGAATAATTTTCTATTTAGAATTACTACGATTTCATGAAAAAAAAACGAAAATCTAATTTTATTTCATGCATTCTCTGCCAAAACGTTCTCCGCTACTTTTTGAATGATCTTATCGAGATACATATTGAAAGTGAATTTCACTACAGCTTGGCAATGAATCAAAGGTGAAACTAAGACTGTTGGATCATGTAAGCAATCGATTGTTCATGTTTTACTCAAACTTTAGGTATCATTATTTCTTTTAATTTTCAACATATCTTGCAAATTGATTTCCGTTTTCTTCGTGTCGAAAACGTTACATATATTTTTATCAAATTCAACTGTTACTTATATTTTTGTGAGCTGTATAGCATGGAAACACAGTGAACTAATATATTCATGTATTATTCAGAAACGACAAAAGTATCAATCAATTCAAACATTTATTCTTCTATTCGTTTCTTTTTTCATATTTTCTTAGATATTGTTTCTGTCTCTTCCTATTATGTCTGTTAACAGATATATAAAATGAGCAGATATTTGATCAGAACTAATGAGAATATTTACTCGAGATTTTGTATCCTAATATCACCAATTATTTTATCTACTAACAATTGCAAAAGAAGTATACGCCAGCAATGACATAGCAAACAAAACGAATGAAATTAAAGAATGCTGAAATCAAAAGATACATACGTATATATGGATACATATTAGAGATTGTTAGGAAAAATGTAACTCGACGATCAGAACAAGCCGAACAGAAATGATAGTAAGAAACTAAGGGTTACAAAACATATCTGAGTTCATTTTCGCAATATGAAGCTAGTAAAAATTCATAACAGCATAATCTGTTAGAATACATTCAGTGTATGATATATTGAATTAGTATTCTACGTTCTATTCTGTTCTCATTTTTGTCCGGTGATATTAATGCTAGAATATCTATTAGCACAAAACAAAATAGTATACCATTCCAAAAGAAATCATTTGTCACCTTGAATTCACATGTTTAGAAAAACTTCTATGCAGATAAGCTGTTATAAACTAATGAAAAAAGTAAGACTATTCCGAGCATTATTTAGGAAGGGAGCATTTCAAAGCGTCAAATCGTATTTGAGTCGAAACTATGTGCTTCCTGCAGATTTTAATCAGCTATGAATATCCTAGAAAGAGTTCGAGCAAAAAGCTTATATGCTACTTAGATATTGTATTTTTGCCATATTTTTTTAATAGAATACCATGATCTCTCTCAGGAACAACAAGAAAACTGAATTTCAAATTTCCACTTGAAGCTTTGCATAGAGACAAATCTTCACGAGAATAGTTTATTATAATAGATTCAGAGCGTTTGCTTGCTTCTATTCTAAGATACGACTCTAGTAAAAGCATATTTTTCTTGCCGTTCATATACAACAGTTAATTCCAATGTTCTTATTTCAGAATAGGCGCAATAAAAAAATCTGAGACTTTCATAATCAGGTATGCTTGTTAAAGTCTAGCTCTACGCAAAGCTTCAAATGGAAATTCGAAATTCAGTTTTTCTGGTGTTCTTGACAGAAACCGCAGCATTGTCTTAAAAAATAGGATAAAAATAGGATACCTCGGCAACAATAAGCTATTAGCTTGAACTATTTTCAGCATATTCATAGCTCAGTAGAACTTTCATGATACACGTTAACCCTGAGTCAAAACTGATTTGACATTTGGAAACGTTCCCTCATTAGTTTTAAGCGTAATTGAATAAAGAAAATGTTATGGCATGTAATTGCATATGATGTACCATAAGAAAAAAGTCGTTAAAGGTATTTTTCCTATATGTTTTCTTGGTATATTCCTTGACTTTTTTTAATTCTTTCGATATGACAACTTATGTACTTTTCCAATTCTATTATGTTATCTATTTTGGTAATTCCATCTACCTTTTAACATCTGATAAAAATATCAGTTGTTTGTAATTAAAGAGGGGAGAGTGAAATTAAAGAGAGGAGTGTGATCAAAGATAAAACATCTACACACTTCAAAGTTATTATCGGACTCAACAGAAAAAGTTTTTAATTTAGTAAAGACAACATGTGTTGTTTTTGCTGAAGATACGACAATGAGATGTCTATATTGGTGCTAATTATGATACTACCAATTTTGAAATTGAAATGATGCGCACATTGACAATAAGAGAATATCGTGTATCCATCGATGTACACTTGACAATCAAATTAATTACTTAAAGTTCTTTTTCCTGGATGAAAACAGATTAGTTTGACAGTTTTAAAAAAGAATTACAATCAGAATTTGATAATCAGATAAATCTGGATCATTTATTAATTGTGAATAGTAAAATGTCTCTAAGTTCTTATCTGTATATCTTCTTCATACTTGGATTTATTTAGTTTATCTCTATGTATTTAGAGCAAAACTCGGTTTCTTCTTTTACTCATGATAACGATTTCTTATCGCTTTTATCTATGTTACTATAACATTTAGTAGTTAGTTCATTTATCTTTTTGTTTTTACACTTACATGTGAAACAAAAAGAAAATTAAAGTTCAATATTTGAATTAATGTTTTATGATTACCTGGAACATTATGCGCTACCTCGAAATAAATAGATCCTGTTAAAATAAAATCTTCCGAGTTTGTGGTAGTGAACGATAAATTCAGATTCAAAGTTTTATACTTCGTCTTTACAAAGTATACTTGAAAATACCTGATAGAAACGGAGAAACGATCTTTTTCTTTTTCTACTTAAACAAAAAAGTAATCTCGATCTTAATACGACAAAAAAACTTTAATTGTTAACAGAAATCTCTATTAAAACCCATTCAGAATATATCATTGCTCTTCCTTTAATACAAAATAGTCAGGAATGAACATGAACAACATAATCTAAACGAAATTTAAAATTGTGTTCAACCATAACTCCAAATGAATGAAGAATGAAGGTAAAAGAACTGCTATCACACAAAGAAGTGTTTCCCTTGTCTAAGGTCAATTCAAAAGATGTTTCTTTTTGAATATAAATACAAATCGAGTTAATTTCTTTTGTCTTATAGATCTGTTTTTGTGATGTTAACAAATTTTTAGAGAGTTCTTTAAACTTTATATATGAACGTGTGCATAGACGGATTAAAACACTCCTGGAAACTATAGAGTAATACTTAACATAATGACAAATGAAATTGTTTTGAGTAAAATAAAGCCTTACGCAAGGCCATTCATTGTTTATTAAATATTTATAATCAGAGCATATTGTATTAAGAATTGTATGAAGCCTACTAAAACTCAACACTATTTTTCATTAGATAAACAACATGAATATTAAGTCTAATCTTTTTCATAATGTTAGATTACAATCAAACCCTTTCATCTTCTACGTCGGTTTCATAGAAAAAAACTATTAATTTTTCTCTTTGAAGAAAGTAATTAAGTTTATGACATTTTCGAGAGCAATTTCATAAATAGATTGACGCATACTTTCTGCATTTATTTTATGACGATTTTCCCTCTGTGTTGCGAAAGAGAACTAAACGTACATGTATTAATCGTCTTTTTCATTTGTTTGAATAACTAATAGATTCCTGTTTTTTATGTGATAAGTCAGTTTGATTAAATCTTAACATGTGATTGATTAAAATACATTATGTTTTGTTTTCTATTCAGGAGTTTTTACGTCTGAAATCAAAGAAAAAATATCAATGACAGTTTGACACAATTATCTTTGTTTACTTTTGACAGAATACATTTACTTGTTAATCTAAAAAACAACAGAACACGCTTATTAGCTTAAAATCAATATGTTCTCATTAATATTCGCCAAAAAACTTCAGCTCATTGGCGAATTATATATGTTACATGCTGGTATTTTCAATTTAGTCTTTGGAATTATTGGTAATATTTCAATGATTTTGGTTTTTACTACTTTGAGAGTTTTCAAAGGGAATCAATCCGCTTTTTATTTTACTGTCGAGTCTATCTCCAATATTGGTTTACTGCTTGGAATATATGTATCAAAATTTCTCATTTATATTCTTGGTTATGATCCAATTCTAAGATCACTCAGTTGGTGCAAAATACGAACCATGTCGTTACAAATATTTGCTCTATGTTCTCTATTTGATATATGTGCCCTCTCTTTTGATCAATATTTATCAACAAATCTTCAATTCAGTTGGCGAAAAATGAGTACACTGAAATTAGCTCATTATATTACACATTTCAATATTTGTTTTCCCATCTTGCAGAGTATAACTTGTCTTATTTTCACTGAGATTCAGCCATCAATGGGTTGTACTATTTATAATCCAACAATTAAACGTTACTATTCTTATTTCTATTATCCAGTTATGGCCGGTATTCTCCCATTAACAATTACTCTGACAACTAGTATATTGGCTTATAACAACGTTCGTCGAATTATACGGCGACAACTACCAGTAATTCGCCGACGTCTTGATCGTCAAATGACAGCAATGACTTTGGCACGTGTTTTGGTTCTTATTATATGTGGTGTACCATTTGTTTGTATTTCTCTATATCAACTTAATATAAACAACAGTGAAAATAATTATATGGAATTATCAATCGTTGGTTTATTATTATCAATAACTACTTCAATCATGCATGCTAATTTTGTGGTAAATTAAAACAAAAGTTTACTTATTCTTCAGACTTCTTATTTACATGTTGAATTTTATTTTAGGTCAGTTTTTATGTCTTTTTGATTGTATCACCACGTTTTCGTCGTCAAGCAAAATATGTTTTGTTTAAAAAATGTTGGCGCTTCATTAAATCGCTATGTGATAGAACGCCAACAAATCCACAAAGCAATCAAGTTTCTCCTGAAATAGTTGAACGAAGTCTTTTGCCTAACGAACTAGAATAATGTTTATATCATGCCACACTGATTGAAATCTTATGATGAAATACTTTGAATGTATTTATATGATGATATGTAAAATAAAATAACTGATGTTGTAGTAAGACTAAAAAATAAATTTGTTCACATTTCGTATGATGAATCATACCTTATACATCCTGTATGACATTGTCATTTAGGATCAACTAATGAATAAAGATACATTGAATAATTTAAAAAGATCAAAAGAAATGCATTCTTTGTTCTCGTAAAACGTGAAGATTTTGCTATATTGTTTTCTATGATGAGAAAAGCTTATCGAGATTTTCTTAATACGTCGCCAAAATGATAAATAAATATATAAAATTACATGCATGACTGTGTTGAAATAAATACAGCATTCTTTCAAATAAAAGATTTTATTATACAATAAAATACGATTTAATTATTTCTAAAAGTAAACTTGTATGAAGTTTATTGACAAGTTAAATAGATGGGGACTGCCTTCAAATAATATCTTTTTCTTTCGTCCTCATTATATCTTGTCCTTAGCGAAATTCTATCAAGATCAAATCCAGTTACCTGTTCTGCTCATGTTATTGTTTCTATTATCAAAAATTTCTACGAATAAAACTGAATTTTTAAAGAGTAGCTAAAAGTTTTTGTTAATAAAATAGACAAGAACTTTTACTTAATAAATTTTCAATGCTTAAAGAAAAATGTTTCACTTAATTTTTGATCCTTTACGAAATAAGTTTTTTTTCTTGTAGTAATTTGTAATATGAATATTCAATTATCGGAACCAAGGATATAATTGTTCTTTGTATAGATTTTTAACCAAGATAGTGTATTCTATGCAACTGCATCCATTTGTGTTAATCTGTTGGAACAAGTTATCTTCTACCCTAGTGAAAGTACTCGTCCAACGAGTGCTCAAAAAGTACTCACGCTAGAAAATGCCGCAAGTACTTATGAATACTCGCGATTTTGAGTACTCATCAGTAGTACTCGTGCTAGATTAAGAGCGTCTGAGTACGACTATCGAGTAGTCGCCTTGAGAATTTGAGTATTTTCCGAGTACTCACTGTATATTTTCTAAGTACTCTGCTGAGTTTTTCGTAAAATACTCATAAGCCTATATTTCGTCCAGCATTATTCTACTTTATTCGTTTTATTTCATTTATCAAGAAGTAGTGAAGCACAAAAGTATCTTATGAAATTTTGAGAAATGAAAATGTCACATTATATATTTCTTTAATTTTATTACAGAACGAGCACAAACATATTATCTTCAGAAGAAAAAGAAACTGTATTAAAACATATATTAAACGCATTATATTATTATTCACAAATAAATGGTAAATAATTGTCAAAATTAAAATTTACAATACACATAAATAGAAATATTTATATTATTACGAAAAAAATGAAGATATTAAACTCATAAATACATCTTATTTAGTAATATGTCGAAAGAAAAATAAAACGTAAATTAGTAAGTTAAGTATGACCTTCGTATCTTAAAACTATTGAAATAGAAGTAATCTATCTGAATGTCTGTTATTGAATTTTTGCTTCATTGTTTTCCTTTATGTATCGAAAATGTTGTTTATTAGTTTGAAATTATATTTTATCTAAAATTTAGAAATTAAAATGCAACGAATTATCATTTGTTCATTTACACAGTCATTTAATTTGACTTCG